AAAAAAAAAAAAAAAAGGCTGAGCATGGTAGCATACGCCTGCGGTCCCAGCAACTTGGGAGGCTGAGATTGCAGTGAGCTAAGACTGCACCACTGATCTCCAACCTGGCTTAGAGAGTGAGACCCTGCCCCCAAAAATTAAAATAAGTAATTACAAAAAAGTGGCGGGAGGATTGCTTGAGCCTGGGAAGCAGAGGTTGCAGTGAGTCAAGACTGCACCACTGCACTCCAATCTGGGTTACAGAGTGAGACTCTGTCTCTAAGAAGTAAAATCAAATAGTGATGACAAAAAAGTATTAAATTATCTTCGTAGACAAATATTTGCACACAACTACGATGACCTCTTGAGGATAAACTCCTAGAAATGGAAAGCCTGAGACATAAAACACGCACTGAAAAGGCCACTGGTCCACCTGCCAAAGAGCAGTAGTTCATATCCCACCAGCAGCACAGGACACCACAAACCACTGCTCACTTAACAGGAGAACAGCGGTCTCCATGCTGGCTGTGTGCCTTTTCCTTCATTAGTGAGGTAAAACATTGTTTGTAATTTTGTTCATTTGTACCTCTTCTTTTTGTAAATTGTCTGTTCGTACCATTTGTCCATTTTCTAATGAGGTGCTCACCACTTTCTTACTGATTTGTAAAAACCTTCTGCACAGAGGATTCCTTCTTAGTCGTTCCGGCGGTGAGGTCAGAATAACGGCCCCCACCCAAGACGTCCACATCCTAACGCCCAGAACCTGTGACTGTGCCACCTTACATGGCAAGGGGGACTTTCCAGATGCAACTAAGAATCCAAACCTTGAGGTGGGAGACCGTCTGGGCTATCCTGGAGGATCCCACCTAATCATGAATACTCAAAAGCAGAGAACATTCCCAGCTGTGGTCAGAGAGACCCGGCACCATGAAAGGTCACACACATGCAACATGACTGATTCTGAACGTGGAGAAAGGGGGCCGTAGGCCAAGGAATGCTGGCGCTTCCTGGAACCAGACGGAGCAGGGAAAACGCTCTCCCCTGGAGCTTCCAGAAGGAACCAGCCCTGCCAATGCCTTGGTTTTAGCCCAGTGAGAACCATGTCAGACTTGCAAACTCCTGAGCTCTAAGATAACATGTTCACTGTAAGCCAGTAAGTCTGTGATGATTTGTTAGAGCAGCGACAGGAAGAGAATGGCAGTGGCCAATCTGTGCTCCTTGGTCTGGGAGGCCGAGCCACCCTTTTGTCCTTTCCTCGTGATTCCGCTTTGGGGACGACACTTGGAAAGGCCCACAGCTTCCGAGAGTGCATCCACATCCCGCTGTGTGCAGTTTCATACTTGCATAGGTCTCGCTTCTACCCTTAAGTTCCCAGGCCAGATAGCACTTACTTTATTTTGCGATATAGTGTTTATTAGGAAACTTTAAAAAAAAAAAAAAAGAAAGAATGGGTCAAATGTCATTTATTAAGTAACCTCTCCTTTTACTCACTGGTTTGAGAATATCATCTTTAACATTAAAATACTACATTGGGTCATTTTTCAGTTTCCCACCACTCAGTTTCTTTTTTTGAGACGGAGTCTCCCTCTGTCACCAGGCTGGAGTGCAGTGGCGTGATCTCGGCTCACTGCAATCTCCACCTCCCAGGTTCAAGAGATTCTCCTGCCTCAGCCTCCAGAGCAAGCTGGGACTACAGGTGTGCAACCCCATGCCCAGCTAATTTTTGTATATTTAGTAGAGACGGGGTTTCCCCATGTTGGCCAGGATGGTCTCGATCTCGTCCTCGTGATCCACCCGCCTCAGCCACCCAAAGTGCTGGGATTACCCACGTGAGGCACCACGCCCAGCCTTCCACTTAGTTTCTATTTAGTACCCCATTCCTATGCCTCCAGCACAATATATTAATTACCAAATGTTTATTTTTATACTCTAAGAGTTTTCAGCAAAATTTAACATTTTTTTGATACTGACTCTCTGACAGGGCACTGGGGAGGCAAAGATAAGCACAATATAGTCCAAACTATTAAGGCTCTTACAGTTTCCTTATAAAAGCAAAACTTCAACTGGCATTTTGAATGTTTTACACTAATTCCTACAGAAGCATGTCACAGAGGTACAGAAGAAACCCAGTCTTGGAAGACTCCTCGAGAAAAAAAAATTCACACTTAGAACTAGGAAAAGTGCAGCTGGCAGAAGGCTGAGATGAACAAAACAGCCCCAACCGATCTGAAGGCCAGGAGCAATGGAATCATGGGATATAAAAGTGACGGCCATGGGCCTGTCACTACAGGAGCAAAAACATGAGCCCACACCTGGCCTTCCTTCAAAGGTCCAGGAGCCCAGTCTCACCCCTCACTCCTCACAGGAAGATTGGAAACCCAGAGAAAGGAATTCTAAAGGGTTTGGCCCCTTGAAGGCTTTGTTATGACTTCTCCTTCCCAAAAAAAGCCAGTAAGGAGAATTACATGATTTCAGAAGAAAATTCTAAAGTTAGCATCCAAATGAAAACATCCCATTTATTTCTGCATACATCAGAGTGAGTTAGTTTCCATTTCAAACTGAAAAAGACACCTGAAAGCAAAGCACGGATCCCTCCTCTCAACCAGGAAGGACCTACGTGGCAGGCGCTGTCCTGGGTGCTGAGGACACAGACACCACATGGCATGAACCACGGGAAGGACCCAGCAGGAGCTAGGGCTGGATACTTTTACCAAAGGAACGAAACACAACAGAAAATTGAAGGTATAGCCCTGTCGCCACCACGCTGCGTGCCACTGCTCAGCTCCAGCCACTCTCAACAGCCTCCGGATTGGCTCAACCTGCCTGTTTCTTTGTTAATATCAACACTGCAAACAATAAAGCATACAGAATAATGGCAGTAGTTAACAGAGATCAGCATTATTCTCAACTCTTAATGTGTTAACTCCTTTAATCTTTGCAACCCAATACAGCACGTATGATTACTCTTCCCGTTCTAAAGGTGGAAAAACTGAGGGACAGAAAGCTTAAGCAGCCTGCCCAAGGTCACCCACACGTGGCAGGCTGCAGAGC